TCCTTAGAGAGCCAGGGTAGAGAGCTCTTCAAAAGGAGTCACAGGAAGAGCCTGAAGCAGCAGATCCTGGGAGTTGGGGGTGGGTGAGTGGGTGGGAAGGCTGCCTTGCAGGAAGGGAGGGATTGTTTTGAAATGGAACGACTTTGAGTAACTGGAGAATGTTTCATTGCTGCTGGGGAGTGTCGGTGGGGAGAGAGGTCTTGAAGCTATGAGGAAGTCTGTGACATGGTTACTAAGGGGACCAAAGGGATAGGATTCAAAGTTCACAGGAGGTGGGGGGTGGTCCTAAATAAGCTTCTCTAACAGGAGAGAGGGAGGTGAGGCAGCTGGAGCTCAGTTGTAGGTTTACAGTCAGGCAACTGAGGAGGTTTCCATCTAATGGACTTCTGTAAAAGCCTGTTATAGTTTAAAATTTTGTGATTGCTTAATGCTGTGGTAATAAACATTCATGAGGCATTTTAGTGTTTGTTTTCTATAGCGAAACTGCCTGCATTGAGCCCAGAGTGTACATTTTCTAACCCAATGGTCATGTGACTTTTAACTGGTCTTTATTTTTTTCTCTGAACTTCTACTTTCTCTTTTTTTTTTGGGGGGGGGGAGAGACAAATTTTATTAGAACAAGCAGCTCATTCCCATCAAGGGGATGGGAAGGGCCTCAGAGGTGGGTGCCCTCTCTTGATTCTTACACAATTAAATGAGTCTGCCTACACAGTCTTGACTGCAGGCTTGGGTGGTCAGCATGCTCCATTGCATAACCAGCGAGGACAGGCATAACGGTGGCCGCCATCTCTTTGGTACTCATCCCACCCTGTGGGGGAGGGCGATAACACAAGCCCCTTGTGTAAGGAAGCACCAGGTTTCAGGGAGTCTGTGATCTGTTTGGTGCTCCACAGGTGATTAGAAGCAGGAGCTAGGTGTCCGGTCAGAACATCTAGCTCACCTGCCCCTTGGCAGGCTGTGGCAGCTGACTGTCTAGACTGTTTATTCTGTAGCTGTGCCGAAGTGTGAGATCCAAGAATTAGATCATGTGAAAATGTAAAGTAAACACAAAGACTGCTGCAGGGGCTTTCTCCTGCCAGCAGGCTCCTCTTCCCTGCTCCATCCCTGCCCCAGCCATACCCTATTCCCACCCTATCCCTGCCCCATCCCTTACCCCTCCCTGCTACCTCCCTGTTAAAATCAAGTGAGTTTTAGCTTGATTTGAGGATGGATGATTTATTTGAGGATGGATGATGAGCGTCGCCTTGCACAGCTTAGCGGGGTAGGTGCACTGGCACAGTCTGAAAGCTCCGATGGTGGCGTGCCTGTGGCTCTTCATTTTCTTCTGTGAGGAAGGGTCTTGCCCAGGCTGTCTGTATTTCACAGGCTTCTGCTATGCCCTCCCCACTCTGGGATAATAGGACTTTGTCATCACACTTGGCTCCTCCCCTCTCTGTCCCTCCCTACCCCTCTTGCTTCTGTTCTTTCCAGGCAGGGTATCACTGCAGTTCAAGCTGGCCTCAGACTTGAACTCCTCCTACGTGCACAGCTGTACACTGCCCAGCCCACTCTCAGCATTAACCCTGACAGTTTCCAGCGGCATTTATGGTAGCAGGTCATTGTGATGTACATGCTTTTCATAGCCTATGTCTGTCCTATGAGGTAACTATATATTCACTACCTTCAGTTTGCCCCAAACCTATCCTTTTCCTTGTCTTAACTGCCGAGTTTCTTTGAGCTTTCTAAAACTGCAGAGCTTTCCCTATGATTTTCTAACTGAAGGACTTTTCATGCTGTTATCTGGTGCTTTAAATTCAGCCGCAGGTGGCTTGTTTTATGAAACATTTTATACTGAAAATGTCACTCTGGAGAACATCATTGGCCCATGCGAGGAGCGAGCAGGTCTGTGGAGGAAGATATTATCCATGCTTTAAAAAAGCAATTGTAATAACAAGATCTCATTGTCTTGCTTTTTTTAGGGGGGAGGGATTAAGATAAGATCATTGCCATATAAAAAGATGCTACCATGAACTTAGTGTCCTCTCCATGATTTAGACAAATTGTTTTGAGGGTCTTTGTGACCTGTTGAATCTGCTTTTATTTTCACACTGTTCTACAATGCAAGGCGGTGGGGCTGGCCTTGTTGGTAGAGAAAAAGGACAGTTGTTTTGATTTCTGGAGAGTTGGTTCTGATCCCTCCTTTTGTATTTTAATTTTTTACAGCGTTATTACAGTTTCCATTCTGTCAATTCACTCCTTTAAAGTTTAACATGTATTGATCTCTACTAAATGTATACAACTGTATAACTATGGCAACAATCTAAAAAATCCCAGAGTCCCTCCTGAGCTTGCCTATACTTCCCCTGATGGTCCCCTCCAGGCCCACACAGCCTGCAGGCTGCTTCAGGTCTGGTTAGAGTTGAGCTTTCCATACATTTCTTTCATAGGAGACAATATGCTGTGCAGTATTTTAGTTCTGGCTTCATTTTCTTGTTGCAACATGTATTGGCAGTTTGGCCTGCCTTTCTGAACAGCATTACTCGTTCATGTTTACCACGTTTGGGTCACTTATTTATGTTTGGTGGCATAATATGAAAAATATTGCTCTCTGTATTTATGAACATGTATTTGTATAATATGTTTCCATTTTGTTGAGTTAGAGTTTTAAAATACGGCATTAAGTTATAATACGCTTAGGTATAATTTTTTAAGAAACTGAAACTATTTTCCAAGGAGCTGGTGCCATTTTGTATTCTTACAAGCAATATGCGAGTCCTCTCTTTTCTAAGCACTTGGTATGGTTTTGATGTTGGCCAATCCAGTAGTTGTGCACTGTTGTGTTATGGTTTAAATATTGTCATCATCACTGTTCTTTTGTTGTGAAAAGGTATCATGACCATAGAACTCTTATTAAAGAAAGCATTTAGTTGGGGGTATCGCTTACAGTTTCAAAGGGTCAGTCCATTATCATCATGGCATGGTGGCGAGCATTGCTCTAGAACAGCAGCTGAGAGCTACATTCTGATCTCCAAGCAGAGAGGCAACGGGGTGGGATTGGATAGGGGGAAACTGGGCCTGGCTTGGGGTTTTGAAACTTCAAAGCCCACCCCAGCAATGACACATTTCCTTCAACGAGGCCACAACTACTCAAACAAAGCCACAGCCCCGATCCTTCCCAAATAGTGCCACTCTCTGGTGCCCAAGAACTCAAATATTTGAACCTGTGGGGGCCATTCTTATTCAGACCAGCATAGATGTGTAGATCCCTTTAACACTGGATTACATTTTAAATCGAATTATCATGGGTCTTTATATATTTTGGATATGATCTCTATAAAATATGATTTCTAATATTTCGCTCACGCTATATCTTGAACTTTGTATTTTCTTAATTTGTTAGAAGCAAAAAAGGTTTTTGAAGTTCTTGATTTAATTCTGATAAACTGTGTGTCCGCACGTGTGTGTGTGTGTGTGTGTGTGTGTGAGTGTGTGTGAGTGTGTGTGTGCACGCATCTATATGCACATGTGAGCACAGGTGCTGGAAGAGAACAGAAGAAGGAACTGGATGCCTGGCACTGGAGTTATATGCCCTCATGCCAAACTTCTACACATAGGTACTGAGAACCCAACCAAGGTCTTTCACAAGAGCAATGTGTGTGGCTGAGACCACTGAGCTATCTCTCCAACGCCAAGACTTTTAACTTTAATGAGCTCTGTTTTACTATCTTGTTTTCATTCATAACATTCGCAGTGTTAGTACTACTTTAAGATCCCTCTGACTAGACCAAAGTAACTTTAATTTTTTTTCTGTATTTATTTGTAGATGGATTATAAGTTTAGCATTTTTATTTAAGCTTGGAATGTTTCCAAGCTTATTGTGTATGAGGTATGGGTTCAAATTCTGTCTTAGTCCCTTTTATCTACATAGTATTGCCATATTGTCCCAGTACCATTTGGTGGGGGAAGCAAGCCTGCTGCTTTCTTGTTTTGTTTGCATCCTGTTGAAAAGTGCCTGGCCATGAGCACCAGGTACCCCCAGTCAGGTGCAATTTGTTTACAAGTCACTTCTCATACTAACTCTAAACTGTCTTGATTGTTATAGCTCTATAGAAAAATTTGAAATCAGATAGTATAAACCCTATTTCGAAAAAATTTATTTTTGTTTTATGTACTGCTTGAGTGTGTTACCTACATGTTGTGTTTGAAATATGTGTGTGCAGTGCTTTCAGAGCCCAGAAGAGTGTTGGAACCATGAGACTGGAGTTCACAGGGGTCCTGAGCTGCGACGTGGCAATCAAACCAGGCTCTTCTGCAAAGCAGCCATTGCTCTTAACTGCTGAGCCATCTCTCGATTCATTGACTATTATTATTTTTTATTATGTTTTTTAGATTTCTTTTGAGTCTCTGTGATTCTTCTGTTTTCATGTGTTAAAATTAATTCATTCCCATGTACTTGAAAAGAGCCTGGTAGGGGTTTGATTGGATTTGTTCTGAATTTTATCAGTTTGTGGAGAATTAATTGACCTCTTATTAACATTGAATCTTCCAGCTCATGAATACTGAAGTATATTCTCATTTATTTGAGCTGATTACTTCTTTTATTAATGTCTTTTATGGTTTTTTTTAGCACAAAGATGTGCACATACATTGTTAGATTAACAGATAAGCACTAAGGTTTGCGGTGTGGATGCTTCAAAAATTCATTTCATATCGTGTCTTTTGTCAAGATTTATCAACTTCTGCTCAAACTCTGACATAGTGTATTGAATCTGCCCAAATACTGTGCTATTGCCCTATAAAAGAGAATATATGGTCTCTAACATTTTAAAATTGCTTTCCAAGACATGAAGGGACAAGCCACGTTTCTTAGTTTGGCTCAGTGACTGGTGAGTCCTTCCCTGGTTGGACTGGCCTGTCTTGTGTTGGCAGGTGCAGGTTGGTTGTAATGTCATGCTGTGATACCCGCAGAGCTTCCAGGAAAGGACAAGCCATATGGAATCAAACTGTCCCTTTCTCTACAGGTGCCGCAGTGTCCCTCGAAGTGTCAGAGAGCCCTGGCAGTGTCCAGGTGGCCCGGGGCCAGACAGCGGTCCTGCCGTGCGCCTTCTCCACCAGTGCTGCCCTCATTAACCTCAATGTCATTTGGATGGTCATTCCTCTCTCCAACGCAAACCAGCCTGAGCAGGTACTTCTGTTATGCCTCTAAAACTGGATCTTCGCCAAAGAGATGGCGAGGGGAGCCTTTGATCTCCAGAGTAAGGCGACCCGGTCAGTGTGCCCTCTCCTGTCGCATTATTAGTAAATACTCTGATTTACTAATAAAATGAGGCTGTCCTCATTTTACAAGGATGTCATCATTATCATTGTTATCACTCTCACCACCAGTTGCTAACGGGGTTCTTCTGAGGGCTTTGTGCAGGACCTTGAAGTGTTAAAAAGAAGATACTACCGAGAGGCAAATACTAAGACAGAGAAGGCTAGGTCTATTTTTTCAGGACATATGCGACTTAGAATGTTCTCTCTAAAGAGACTGATGATGGAAGAAGTCCTAGGAAGCAGTTTGCTCTGCTGAGTTATGTGTGCATCTTAACACAGTAGGCTTACTAGCCAACATGCATCTAAACACAGTAGGCTAACCATCCAGTTCAAACTCTCATACCAATGAGAATGCACCACACAGAAGAACGCACATGAAAACAACAGCTAACCCCAGAAATCTGTATTAGTTATAGAAAATAAATTAATAATCTCAGACATAATTAACAAATTGTGATAAGCATCACAGTTTTATTTACAAAGATGATATCTATTTTCTGAAGCTCTTCAGATTCTATTTTAATAGCATATTAAGTGAAGTAAATGGTATGGTACAAAATCCAATAGAAACTTTAAAAAATTTATTAATTTTTAACTTATGATTTGAAAATTGCATACATGGATACAATGTCTTCAAACCATTGGACTTTTGCAGTAGATTAAGCTTTTGGGGTCATTTTAAACATCAGTGATAGGGCCTAAAGATGTTTTTAAAAGGACTGAGTAAGGTTTCTCATACACGCACAGGAAGATCCTCATTTTCAGCTCATAGGGCTTTTTGCTATATTGTATGTTAAGTCTCCTCCCAAGATAGTTAAGTCCGATAACAGCAATCGGCAAAAATAGTAGTTCATGGACTTGTGACACTTCTTTTATGACTGGTATTCGGTATGGTGAGTGATCTGTCATTCTGTGGCCTAACCGTATGGGAACAGCAAAGCAGATGCCTTCTGAATTTTCATCTCACAGTTAGCTTTTTACTGGTGGAAATATTTATGTGTTGATAGTCTAGTAGCACTGTAAGACCTGGGGTCTCACAGCTCAGGAGTTCAAGATCGCGCCCTTCCCAGAAACTCCCCCAGACCAAGACTCATTGCAAAAGCAAGAGGTTTATTAACCATTGCGCAATGGGGCCACCCCTGCCGGTCAGCAAAGAGTGGTACCCAGAGACAAAGGCCTTTAGGTTTTTAAAAGAAAAATTGCAGGAGATTTGAAGTTGCAGTCTTGGCAATTTAGGATTGGATGAGGAAGCTATAAAGTAAGATAATTGGTTAGTCTTAGGTGCTCAAGCTTGGCCAGTCCTGCCAAGTGTGGATGCAGCTGCAATTGAAGGTGGGGGTGGTTAGCTCATCCTTGAAGATTAGGGGCTGCGGACTTTTGGCTGGAGGTCAAAAGCTACTCAGAACAAGTCTGGGTTCATTGCTAAGAAACACTATCTCAAAGACAAGGGTCTGGTCCTTCTTTTTGCTGAGTGAAGGTCATTGCTTGCTTGCCCTTTTTTCTTTTTTTTTTTTTGTCCTCACAGATAGGTTCACATTTTTCCATTCTCTGGAAAGGTACTAAGAGGCTTTAGCTTAACCTGAACCTAAAACTCAAAACTATAGGCTTTAGAAGACATACAGGTTACAAAGTTAGTCTAACCCTTTCAGCACTAAAGACATTTCTGATAAACTAAGGAAGGAAAAGAGATATTCTAATTTTGTGTGGGATAATTTAGAGCCCTAAGATGCTCATACATGGGGCACCCACAAAAAGTTGCTAAGAACCCTGAGAAATTAAAGATTCCATTTTGTTGTTGTTGCTGCTGTCGCAGGAACATTTGGTTTTCTCTGCTAGGTATGTGCCAAGGAGGGGCTACCAGGCCCAGTTTAGTTATGTGTTGCTCCCTTTTGCAGGTCATTCTCTATCAGGGTGGACAGATGTTTGATGGTGCCCCCAGGTTCCACGGGAGGGTAGGATTTACAGGCACCATGCCCGCTACCAACGTCTCCATCTTCATCAATAACACACAGCTGTCAGACACAGGCACCTACCAGTGCTTGGTGAATAACCTTCCAGACAGAGGGGGCAGGAACATTGGGGTTGCTGGCCTCACGGTGTTAGGTAAGTGACAGACAAGTCCCACTACCCTGGGCTTCACTTACAGGTCTACTCTAAAGCATGCTTATGTCCTTCTGTGCTCCATCCCCACCAGTGTGGATGTAGCATAGTAGAGCTCCTTGCCCTGGGATCTCTTCACTCCCTTTGTGTTGGAGTAAATCATCACATACACACACACCCTTTGGTGTTGCATTGGTGATTTTGGTATCCTTGTTACTTATGTCCTTGTCAGTCTTTAATGAGTATCAACTGTTTTGGATTTAGAAACAACCCCCACCTTACTGTTAGCTCTCTCTAATTTGAGCCTCACTTACGGAGCCACTATAAAGTGTGCCCACCTGGTCTTTGTGAAATACCAGGACACCTCACTAGGGAGGGTTTTGTTAGAGGAAGCTTGTTGGGGTCAATTTCTGCTCGAGAAGTGGGGTTGAATGTGTCTTTTCAGCAACGCCTTTAAAGGTGGTGTGTTGACCTGAAAGGTCTTAAGAACCCTTCTCTAGAGGGAACATTCAGCCAACTCTTAGATACCTTAAAATGTAACCAAAAGCCAAGGCTGCTTTTGTAGATTTGCTCCCTGCCTGTGGCACCTGCAGGCCTTGTGCCCATCCCCGTCCTGGGGGGTCGAGCTTGATTGCCTCCTGTCTTCCCCCACGAGGTTGTCTCCCCCGAAGTTCCCCAGTGAGGAGCGTCCCTGTGTCGTCGGTCGGCTCACAGTAAAAGCGAACCTGTGTTACCCATTCTTCCCAGTGCCCCCTTCCGCTCCAAACTGCCAAATCCAAGGATCCCAGGACATCGGCAGCGACGTCATCCTCCTGTGTAGCTCCGAGGAAGGTATCCCTCGGCCCACTTACCTTTGGGAGAAATTAGATACCACGCTGAAGCTACCTCCAACAGCCACTCAGGGTACGTACAGTGCCACGGAACCCCTTTGATGGGTGCTTGGGGAAAGTAATGAACTTTGGTAGTCTCTAACTACAGAGAACATCGGGCATTCAGCTTCAAGGTGAACGTGATATTTTCTTTCTCTTCCCCTACCACTTTTAAGAAATGTATCTAGAGGCAGGACAATTTCATTTCCTCAGTGGAGCTTCAAAATAGCATCCTGGGAACTTCTCTGAGTTAACGCTAGGACAGTTCTTGACACTTCTTCAAACCCACTTTCTGATCAAGGCCCAGGTGCCCATTTTAGTTCAAGAGAGACATCTGCATAGGCATAAGAAGATTAATTCTCCTGTTTCAGCTTCAAGTCTACTAAAAGAAAGAAGATGACAAAGCACAGAAAAAGGGACCCCTGGCCTAAGACCACACCAGATAGGTAAAGGGGAGGAGCCATGCATGCCATGGGTGGTTCTGGATATGCAAATCCACTCATTTGGATTTGATTGTAAGGGAAGTATCTTTGAAAAATCTGCAGTGTCACAAAACAAGATGAAATGAAGTTATAGGCCTATGTAAAGTCTTATGTTTCAAGAAAATGCAGTTTAGCATCCCTCGGTGCTGTGTCCTATTTTCCTTGACGCATTCATAGGGTAGATTGGCAAGTCTTTATTGAGAGCTAGCCCTTAATGAAAAGGCCTCAGATAGCCTTGGCTGTGCTTCAGTTTGAATCGTACTGATGATCTGTGCCTGCCACAGGGTTGTTGCTGGGTGACTTGAGATGTCGTTAGGAACCAGGGCTACAAACCTCTACAAAGGCCACAAGGAAACTCGCTGTTGAATCCAGAAGAATACGGGTGGACTTTCCCATCACCTTTCAATTTGCATAGCCCCAAATTCCTTATCTTTAAAACCTTACTTTCAACTGAATAGCGTTCAGGTCACTTTTGTAGTGACTGCTGCAGTACCATCGTCCCCTGCTGCCTGTTCATTGCTAAATGCTTCAGCTACATCGTGGGATAAATAGCTTTCTTGTGGACTGACTTGTTAATCTCACTATTGTAAGTGGCATGCCTAAAATAGCTCATGTTGAAATGCTGAAAACTGTTTCAAGTCCAGTTTTGCCAGCAACTGTGTCTACAATAGTTTTCCTCTCCAGACCTGTGTTAACCCTTGTGTAAGATGATGGGGTAGACAGTATCTTCCAGAACCTCTGACACATATCACTGAGGTTCTGTGATTTACATCCCTATCATTCTTGTGGAGCACTGGAGAAAGGGGGAAATTACAGGCAATCTTCCAACAGTCCTGTGTGTGTGAGCTGAGATATACATGTAGCGAGGGGCTTCCTGTAGCTCCCTGTTTGTAATAAATCTATATTTGCAGCTTAAAATTTTTGGCATTTCAAGGGTAAAGACAAACTTGAATGCCAACCGTGAAAACTGTGGTCTTTTGTAATTCAGTCTTTGGTAAATTATCAGAATTACTTCACATAACCTTATTTGTTCTGGTTAAATATGAGATGGTTTTTCTTCAGTTTCGCCTCTTGATATTTATATTACCAAAGCAGATCTTAACATACGTCTCCCAAACAACTTAAGTAACTTTTTTCTAGAAGATTTACTTTGCTGATTATATTATAATATTTTAAAATTTGAACTCTTGATGCATTTTCTGAGGAAATAATATTTGGCATGAGGGGAGGGCATCCTGTGAGTTTGACCAATAACAGAACAATATTTTGGAGTTAGTAGTGTCTCTTTTATGTAGGGCTTGAACGAGTTCTTTCTGCCAAATCTGTGAACATAAGTACATAATCCATAGAATGGAATAATATTTTCTGAGTCACTGCTAATAAGTGTAAGTGAAGACAGTGAGAAAGCATTGTCTTACAGTTCAGTGCCGACCAATGCACGTTGAAGAAATGATTAAACAACAGCACCGTTGATGCCTACATCGTAAGCAAAAGATTGACGAAAAGCATCCTTTTCTTATAGTCCCACAGTATGGTCCTATCAATAAGTTATTAAGATTTCTGTTTGGGTTTTAACTTTCCAGGGAGGGGGAGAGAGTGGGAGGGCTTGAGACATGGTATCTCAGGCTAGCCCAAAAGTCACTATCTTAGTCTCCCAAATGATGTTATTACAGGACTGAGCCACTACAACTCTTCTCAGTATCCTTAAGAATTTTAAAATTGAAAAACAAAACTAGAGCATGTAAGGCAGAGGAGAAAAGGAAAGATTATGAAGGACGTTGGGGCTTGGCATGCAGCTCATACTGCTTGTCTAGCGTGCATCAAGCCCAGGTTCTATCCCTCAGCCCTACATAAGACCAGGCATAGTGGCACGTGCCTGTCATTCTGGCACTCAGGGGTAAAGGCAGAAGGTCAGAAGGTCAAGGTCAGCCCGGGCTGTATGACAAGTTCTAGGCCAGCCTGGGTTACATGACATCCTGTCTAAATTAGACATGCCCCCATTAAACCACTGTAGAAGGTATGGGTGGAACTGGGGTCAGTAGAGAGAAAGCTTAACAACTAGAAGAAAATGGAGTAGATTTAAACAGAGTGATAGCAAATAAAATTAATTCAGATAGTCAAAGGATAGAGGCCTTTCAGGTTACAGATTAAAAATCAAACTAAATACACACACACACACACACACACACACACAAGTTAGAGATGAATCTAACCTATAGAGAGCTGAAAGCAAAGGAGCCACAGAACAGAAACATCCTGATGAGAACTAGCCAAAGAAAGGTATTACCACCTTTAACAAGAAAGGATAAAAATAACCAAGAAGCCTGTGAGCTCCTGATGACATAGCTCAAGTGGGTAAGGAAGTAGCATAAGCAAAAGAATGAAACAACTTCGTAGTTCCGACACACATCTGCATCACCAGACACCACCCCAAGCGAATACACTAGTGCCAAAGCCATAGAGACCGAGCAGAGTAATTAACAAATGGCCTGTGATGCGCACATCAATCCCAGCGCCCCCAGGACAGTATTCTGCAGACCTGTGAGCCCCAACTGTTCTCTGCCTTGCTCACTCGCTCCAAGCACACTGACCCCTGGGAGGTTCATCGTACCAGACCAACTCCTGAGGCAGAGCTTCACATAGGCATTCCTCCCGCCCGGAAGCCTCTCTAGCCCGTGTGTTCATGTGGTCACTCCTGCATACTAGTCTGTCCTCCACTCCGTAATGCCCTCACTGAGCCCGGTATTCACAACCGGAGCTCGCTCTCCTCCAGCTATTCCATTTCTCCCTGCTCTATTTCTTCTGCATAGAACACCCTGCGAAACACTGTATATTTGCTGGTGTAATATACTGAATCCTCAACCACTAGGACGCTCTGTAGAGAGTCATGTATCTGGCCTGGCATCTGATTTGTCTTCAGCACCTAGGACAGCTGTTGGTATGTGATGAATGAAGGAATGGATTCTAATGCTCCAACAGTGAAAAAGAATAAATGAAATCAAAAGGAGGGGTTAGTGTAGCAGATTAAAGAGGAAAGTTATGCAAACAGTATTGGAAGTGTGAGGGAACACAGAGCTTTAAAATTCATAGGATTAGAACAGTAACATAAAGAAGAATATTTAAGAAGTCCTTATACATGGCAGATACTGTTCTAAACATTTCAAGGGTGCTACTGCTTCATCATTATCTAACCATAATCCAGTTTCTCCGACTGTCTTATTTTATACATAGAGACAAAGACCCACAGTCACATATCAATCCTGGATTCAAACCGCTTCTGAGTCCAGGATTCTCTAATCCTTCCCTTGGCTTCAATATAGAGAACAAATACTTCAATACTGTGAACAAATTGATGCTGTGTAATATACAGTTGAACAAAAGATACATTAAAAATATGCCGCGTACAGGAAACTGAGGTAAACCTCTATCATGAAATAGAGTAGATCCGTAGAAACACCAACTAAACATACACACAGACCAAGCTTCCCAAGGTAAAGCCTACAGAATTATAAGCCTGTCCCCATCTTTCTGCTCCCTCACACTGTTTTCAAAGAAGAAAAAGCTGCCCAATTCAATTTATGCGATTACTTGATATTGAGACATTAAAAGTGGCCATGACTGTAGAAAACAAAACCGACCAAACAAAATGACAAAACCATTGGCCATCCTCCTCTGTGGCCCTCTGATCACTGTATCCACCCAGTCAATGGAGCAACTCTTGAAAACAGCAGAACTGTGTTCCAGGAACACAACAGTGCTTCAACGTGGAGTTTGATTCACATACTGACCATGTGAGTGGGATACTTCTTAGTTGTGATGCTGTCTTGGGCATTCTCCATCTTTATTCCCGCCAACTTCATCAAGATTCGCAAATAAACCTTCCACATATTTTTAGTATATACCACATTTGGTTCATCTGGGCATTGTGAGGTGGGGACCACAGTCAACCTAAAGGCTCTCATCACCTCCCACAGCTATGACTGTTTTGTGTGCTGTAGTGGGCGAGTGGGTCAGAACACTTAAGATTCCCCTCTCAGCAAATCTTGAGTATGTAACAGTGCTGCTGGCATGTCCCCATGTTGTCTCTCAAGTCTCCAGCATACGTTAGACATTTCCACTTAGCCCGACAGAAGCTTTGTTCCCTTTAAGCAACGTCGTCCGTGGTTGCTCCCTGGCAATCATCATTCAGTTCTCTGCTTCTGAGTTTAGCACTTTTAGTTTAGGATTCCATGGCAAACTTTGTTGTCCACAATCGTGACATCTAAATATTATAGAAATGTGGCAGATCAATAAACTGTAACAATCAGAATGTAGATCAAGGAAGTAAATAGTGCAGTCTTCCCTGGTAACAGAAAACAGCAGTTTAACGTAGCACCCATCATAAGGCAGATGGCCTTGTCATCCATAGGTTAATGTATTTACTTCTTTTGGTTTTATGTCAGTGTGGTTTCATAACCTGGCTCTTTGAATGAAAGACTGTATGATGGCCATTTTCCATAACATAAAAATTCATTTCACAAAATTCTTATTGGGATTACCTTGTAGATATTAA